ACAGACCAGGAAGCATCCATCATGCGCTGTCCAGCCCGGCCGGAGGGGCAGGGGTCAGCAGGGAGGTGACCTCAAGGTCTCTGTGGGGACCAGGATCCGGCGGGGCTGGAGGTGAGAGGCTGGAAACTTTCCCACCATGAGATTTTCCTGCGTCAACCCAGGAGGGCGCCCTGGATGCCGCCGGCCCAGCCCCCACCTCCTTCCTCTCTTGACAGGGCTTCCCGGAGAAGGATGGATGGGGAGGGCATGCCAGGTGGGAACCACCAGGCCGGACAGAATGCCGGGTGCCTGGGGACAGATGACATGAGGGATCGTGGATCAGAGTGGCCGTGGGCTGCCCTGGAGCCACACAGCTCGGGGATCAAGGTGGCCGGCTTCTCGGGCCGCTCGGCCTCCCTTGGCCTCCGCTGCCCAGGGGGAGCTGGAGCCGGGCCCGGCCTTGGGCGTGTGCGAAGCCCTTGGCCCCGGGCCCTGCCCGGCCCTTCCTCCCCCACACACTCGGACTCGGCCCTTCCTTGTGTTAAATAGAAACCTCTTTATTCTAAGTATCGAACATTCCTTAATACACTGGATGAGGGCCAGACCTTGAGGTGAGGGAAGGGGGGGTTCTGCAGAGCCTTCCAGAACACCAAAACGCGCCGGGGGGGGGGGGGTGGGGGGTGGCCGGGAACAGGCGGGTGGCCTTGGCAGGTCTCGGTGGCCCTGGCCTCTGCTCCCCTCCGTCCTGGGAGATCGGGGTTGGGGGAGATCTCTGAGGCCCTGGCAGTCCCAGGGGTCCCAGCAGGGAGGCAGGAGGGGGACCGTTCAGGTTCAGGAGAAGGTCTGTCAGCAGCAAAGATGGGGTGCACTGAGACAAGGGCTGGGGGAGCCTCAGCGCTGGGCCCGGGGCCGAGCTGGAGAGGGAGGCTGAGGCCGGGGCAGAGACCGGAGCCAGCCGCGAGAGGGGCAGGCGGCCCAGGAAGAGAGGGAGGCCCAGGCAGAACGAGGAGCGGGGCACGGCGATGTCTGTGAAGAAGGCTCGGTCCCGTGGGGGTGAAAGGGCGCCCCCTTCAGAGAGTTCCAGGTCCCGGGCCACGGCCAGGAGCCCCTGGCGGGCGGCTGTGTTGCGCAGGCCCCGGATGTCCAGGAGGGCGGCCACATGCTTCCGCCTGCGGGTAGAAGGGACAGGTGTGCACAGGGTCCTCGGCCCCAGACGCACTCTCAGCTCACCTGTGACCCCACCTGACCCCACCTGTCACCTCTGGCATCCCTTCTAGCCTTCTGGGTCCTCCCCCTAGGCCCTCCCTTCCCACCAGCCTCCTCCACTTCTAATCATTTCCAAATCGCTCCACTCCCAATCAACTCTAGAACCTTCCACTCCAAACCCGGCACTGGAATCTGCCTTTTCCCACCACATCTCAGTTCCCAATGAATGCTGATCTCCCATCTTCACCCCCGGTTAGCTCCGAGGTCCCCTAAATCTCCATCCAAGTACACCCATGCCCGTCTAAGCTCCGGACAGCAAGCCCTTCTCTCCACGCCTGTCCCACACAGCCCCCGGGTCACCCCTCAGACCTGGCCCAGGAGTGTCCCTGCCATCCCCTCCCAACTCTGGCCTCACCCCGGGATCAGGCCTGGAGGCTTCCCCACCACCATATGCAAAGTTCGCCCCACAACTTCTCAACCCGGACCCCATTCTAGAACTCTTCATTCCAGATACGGCCTTGGGGCACTCGCCTCACCCCAGCCCACTCCCAGAACCACGCTCCACCAGAACCACGCTCCACCGTTTCACTCCAGGACGGAAATCCGACTTGGGGGTCCTCATTCTAGAAGCTTCATGCTCAAAACCAGCTAGCTCTATTCTGCAACCTGCTGGCTCTGCATATGTATTTTCTTTAAAAGCTTTCATATGGGGCTAGCAGATGGCGTAGTAGTTATGTCACTGGACTCCCCACGTGGCAGACCACGGTTCTAGTCCAGGACCCAGTGGTTCGAAAACCATGCTGGGTGCTTGTGCATGTATGCTCAAAATCCTGAGAGGCAAATGGAGGAAAAGGGACTGCAGGGTGGCCATTCCCCCCTGGGGGGGGGTGATCTCTCACTTTCCCTTCCACTACCCCCACAAATCCTGGCAAGCATACACACCTGCCCTAAAGCAAAAACTTCTAAAAAAATAAAAGCCTTCCTATCCTTCTCATGTATAGAGGGCGTAGGCAGGATGCTTATTTAGGCGGATAGAGACTCAGTAATAACTGGCATTGCTACCGCAGTTCCCGGTGGTGATGACGGTGACGAAAAATTGCCCCAAGAATCCCTTGAGGAGAGCACTGTTATCCCCACGGAGCGAACGAGGAAACTGAGGCTCCGAAAGGGCGCACAGAAAGGAAGCGGCCCGCCAGCATCG